TATAGCCATGTAAACTTAAATGTTCAGTCCATTTTTAACTTCTCGGAAAACTTTAAAGCTGAATTTAAAAAAAACTAGATGATATTTGCCAGTAAATTTAGATTTGATGCAACCCTACATCAATGCACGTCAAAACAAAATATTTACTTTGAGGCTACGCCTAGCAGTTTTTTTTTAAATCGAAATTAAATGATGCGATTTGGGTATTTTGGTGAAATTACTAAAAAAATTAATTTAAAAGTAGCCGCTTGGCATGGAACGTGTTATGGGGGCTGAAAATATAGGAAATGACCCATTCTATCCGCCAAATCATTTTGGCACACGATGCGCCAAACACCCTGTATATCGCCCAAGAAATATCGATATTTCGATATATCGATATTTTTTGCCCAATTTGCAATTATTTATAAAAATGGCCAAAAATATCTAAATTTTAAAGAAAACACATGTCGCTGTTTCAACTCAAGTTGTAATATTTCAATTTATTTTTTCGAATGAGCAATTAAACATTGACAAAAAAACATTATTCAAACCAGTATTTGTCTGATATTGACATCAGGCACTCTTTGTTTGATGTGTTCTCCTGTAAGTCTGCTCCTATCATTTGGCACAGCCAAATTTACCACTGAAGCTACCCTTTCAGATGACACTGAAGATGCCTGACATATCAAATATTTAAGAGCAATATCCGAGAGAACCGGCGTGAAGTGTTGACAATTTACCCAGAACTTTACTGGATCAGATTTTCTTTCCAAAACTGGTTGGTCCAAATACTGCTTCAGTTTATTTGGTACACAGCCACTGCTTGGAACCTCAGACGAAGCTATGCTCAGATTTAATAATTTTCATGTCTGGACCAAATAAAGGACCCACTAGCTTGTTGTAATCATTCAATATTAAAATATATCGATTTTGATATCTGAAAATAAATATCGAAAATTGATATATCGCCGGAAAAAATATCGCTAATTTATATCGATATTTTTCTGAAAAAATATCGATATTTTGATATATCGATATTTTTTACCCAATCCTAGTTTCCCGCCTTTAGTTCACAACACGTGAGGCGGTTCGTTCAAAACAGATTGGATTGACTTCAAAAAACGCGCAACTGCCGGCTGCAGCGGGCGACAATAGAATTTCTCATACACATTTATTTTCGACATAATTAATAAATAAAAGGACTTAAAGTGTAGTGCGGGTGTATAAAGTGATAACGAATATATTTAGTTCAACCGCGAACTTTTTTCATTTTTAAAGTTTCGCCTTATTTAGGTAAGTAATTTTGCAAATTATTTTAATTTTAAAAACAATCAACTTCTAGGGCTGACTAAAACTCAGTACTTTTTAAAGTTCAGTCATTAATTTTGTGGATTTTTGTATGAACTAACTTTACTTACCTACTTACTAAGACTAAGTCGTTATAGTATTGTTTCAGAAATAACTACCAGTAAATAATAATAATACATTTAATTTAAAAGTACATAAAGCTATTCAGGATAATATTTTAGCAATATTTATTTTTCATTTAAACAACCCTGATTTAAGGTAACCGGTGTGGACGCTTTACATTTCAAACGTGAAAGAAATAAACATTATAAGTAATTACTAATTTTAAGTATCAAACATATCAGTGGGATTACATTGTTTAAGAAAATGTCGTGAGTCCCAATAATTTACACACACGTCGCACATACTAAAGTATAAAAAACTAACTACAAATGCCGTAACTTAATGTAAGTTTTGGATGTTTTACGAGGTTTAATTTTTGAGAGTAGGTATTATTTATTAAATGTTTTTTACAAATTAAGGACTAAATTCAAACTATCGACACAGCATCCCAACCCCCATGATTTTCAACTTAAAGTTAGTTGTAGAGTTTGAGCGCTGTGTTGTTTCCTACGTAAAATTTAAAAAGTTTACTTTTCAACAGCTTGAATATTTAGTGTTTTCACTGATGAGCGCTTAGGGTTACAAATCTGGAGGGTGAATTATGTAGATACAATTATTAGAAGTTATAAATTATCATCAATTTATTGTCCATTGTATTCGATTGTTGCTTTTTATTTCTTTTCAATTTTATTAGCAATGATCATTATTTTAATTAAGAAATTTACTTATTTTAGAATTAAAAGGCGATCAGAAAAATATGTTTTATGTCAGTGCTAGGCCGTCTTGATCCGCTGGGGGTCATAATACGTATGAAATATCTCTACCTGATTTACGAGTAGGTATAACAAAATGAGTTGAATAAGCACAGATTGCACAAATCTTTTATAATGATTACTTAAAACTTTCATTTGATTACATAATAAAAACGCGTAAATATAATTTCCTCTCACGTTTAAAAACCTCGAAGCAAAACGAATTAAGAGTTCCAGTAATTAACACAAATAAGCTTGACAAAAACACAGTGTGCTTAGCGCACTTGTTTGCACCTGAACGTGGAAATAATAAGATCTTACGCTAAAACCGGTGTTAAACAAAATCAAAAGTCAAAGTCAAAAAATATTTATTCTTAGGAACTATTAGTACTTATTATTATTCTGTGCTATTACCTAAATAGTGCTTACAAATACCTATTCTATTAATTAATGCCAAAATCGTCAATGCTCAAGATGATAATAATTTTCTTTCCCCTGTGACCAGGCAGAGAACTGGTAGAGTTATTTCAAGTGTAAGGTTGTTTGTATTTGTGTAGCGTTACATTGAGATAACTATGTGTGCTCTCAGTACTTGCCTAATTCGGGTCACCTGTATGGTTTTCACAATTGATAAATGTGACGTGATAAGATAATAGTACCATTAGATATAGCCATGATATCATTTGTGGGTGCACTGTCTATTTTAATCACTACAGACTGTCAATTACATGCTTAGAGTAGGCAATCAGTAGCAAAGCCCGGTTGAACTATTAATTGTTTGTTAAAGTCTTAAATCGTAAATGAAAACCTATCCATTTCCTTAAATTTTAGATATCCTAGACTCTGACTAACTAGAGTGACTTGGAAAATTTCACAAAAACTTGCGGCATTGAGACATGAAAATAAGTTAAATGTAATAAAAACCTTGTCAAACTCGCTCGCTCGCTCGCTACTTCTCGAATGGTTAGCATGCCGGTGCTATGTTTGCCCGAAACCGCGCTAAACACTGTGACACGACAAGCCGGAAATCAGACCACGTTATCAATATGAAGCTGCTTTATCAAACAAAATTAATATTTTTATAAACCATTACTAATATTATATTTACACTACAAATTATAATGAATTCCGGAAACAAAGATAAAGTTGAAGTGTAGGTTAAAGTTCGTAATAGGAAGTGTACCTTAAAATGTAGAGCTTTATTAAAATACAATACGTAATAAGTAAGGATTTTTATATCATTACAAAATCGTTTACCGCGTGATGTGGAAATCATTAGGGGTAACCTATGTTCAGCAGCGGACGTCCTGTCTCTGAAATGATGATGATGATGATGAAAGGTTTAGTTGGGTATTCAAATTACAGACTTTTTGGCAGAATCTCCTATTAAAATATCGTAAGTGCTTAGATATATAGTTGACACGGCTACATTTGTGCTGACCTGAGCGGAATGTACGCTTCCGGAGTCTGCAGAACTGATGCTGCCAAGAATCTTGGTTGACGATGGCTTTGGACGCCAAGAGAAAGGTGAAGCTTGACGTCATCTTTCACATAGTTTTGATGCTGTGAGCGATGAGTACCAAGAACAATCGGAGGCTATGGATAAATATTAACTCTATATTTTCTGAACTTACTTAATATGGTAGGTATAATAAAAATATGCAATTTTATTTTAAGCAGATCTCAAGTTCATAGAGCTATAAATAAATTTTATTACCTACTAAAAATATTCTAGTCACAGATTAAAACTTTATTCCTTACTAGTTCAATGAGGTCAAGAGGCAAATGAGGAAAATCACACAATATTTTTCTCGCTTATCACTTCATTTCAGAAATTTACTTAAAGATCCTCGCCGCAAACCAGTAGAAATGAATTACAAATTAATTTGTCACTGTGTCCGTCCATATTTCAATAATAGCCCCGTTTCTATTTTTGGTTAATGTAAGTAAGTTTTCCTGTAACTAGTTTCGGTATATCACATTGACATTATTTAATTAATTTGCCTATTTGTATTGTATTCCAAGTAGGTTATCTCAATATGTTTCAGTAAATAGTGCGCCACCGGTTTCAAAATTAGCTGTGATTCTATGTAGGTAAATAGTGACACAAGGGATTTTCCTGTAACGGGCTGAAGAAATCCGTGTTTTGACTTGAAATGATTCAGAATGTCCTGGAATTGTTCTTGAAATAGATGCTTTTTGTAGTAGCCTTGTCTGTGACAAGTGTGTCGAGAGCTGGTCAGTATCCACAAAGCGGTGGAATCCATCAACGTCGCGGTAGCGTGGCTAATCGGAACCATTGACGCGCGTCACGCTCCCGCGCCGAATCGTTACAGCAGCCACTACTTAACTCGTTGCTCGACATTACATAACCGTGTAATTAACGAGTACATAGGTTTACTTGTAATATACCTTAAGTAAATAGTTTAAGTCGACGTTAATGTATTATGTAATACAGAAAAATAATAGGTACCTACTTATGTACCTACTTAATCATTTTGATACCCAAGAGCAGGCTTTGCTGCATTGTCATTCCCTGGCATTTGGCAATATACTTTTCCTGTTACCTATCTATACTTACCTGCCATGTGAAAAGTTATCGGTTCTATTCTAATTGAATAAGCTATAGTTACAAACTTAGTTTTCCCATCGCCAATTCTATTCAAAATCAATTTGACTCTACCAATCGTGCCTCAGCCGATCGAAGCTAATGCGTATAAATTATGATAAATCATAGAATTAAGCAGAAATTGCTCGTAACTGCGTTCCAGTTTTGCTTCAGCAATATCAGTTATTTTATGCCAGTGTGCCCACTGATACACATTGTTGGAAATCAGTTATTGCGATGGGATCCGCTCCGTCGCATCCAATAAGTACATTGTTATTCAATTTGAATCGATCTTTATGCATCTCGATGCAAAAACTAATCATAACTTAGTTCTTGGGATACAGGATGTTGCAGGTATCTTATTAGTAACATTAACGTTTTTGAAAAGGGAAAATATACGAAAAATAATATGGTCTTGTATTTCTTTTGATGTTAGCATAAAGTGATTGTTCAGCTGCAAGCTTATTAATTACCTCCTCAGGGGGGCTATTTCAGTCACAGCGAAGGTAAATAGGCTAGGAAATACTGAAAATATAAAAAATAACTCATATTCTCTCCACTATTTTTGACCCTGATTGACGATAGAGTTATGATTCTGTCTTCTTGTCTTCTTACGGCCTTTCTCAGTGGTATGTAAGTACATCCACTGGGTACATTTGATTTTCAAAAGTAGAATAAAAGACTTACTCATGGAGACACTCCTTTTAGTACTTTTGCGCAAATTACCTAGTAATGCATAAAATTTAATATGATGATATTTTTAATTTTGATAAGGACGCCAATAAATATTGAACTTAACCGCATCAGCGCCAAAATTATCTTTAATAAATTAAAAATTATTATCCAAACCCCTTTGAGAAAAGTTTGCCTCACGATGATGTCATTTATAGTAAGGTTTATGATTATATGTTTTTATGACATATCATTTTACAGTGATATGTTTGCCCCATCATGATGGATAGTGTCTGTCATAGGCTGTATATTGTCAACCGGAATTTCTTATGTTTATCTTGTACAGTCAACACTAGTAGATCGTGACACCCAAAGTAGTCAAAAAGTTGGCAACGCGTCTTTGTTACAATTGGAATAAGGTTGTGTTGCTAACTTTTTAACCACTTTGGGGGTCACGAAGTATTTGACGCTGACTGTACCCAGGGCTATTGCAAGATTATCATGTGGGCATTTCTTACTACTGTCTTATAAATTAATTGTGTCAACAATTATATGATATTATTTTTAGAATATGCCAAACGAAAATAGTATGTTTTGTCCGTCTGACCTTCTCAATGATGTTTTATTATACCAATGAACTGGTCGCGTGACGTAGTCAGATGCAACTCGTCATAATATTGTCCACTAAATGATTTCATAGTGATGTGAAAAGGTTTACTCATTTACTCGTAGTAATATTTGATACCAACGTGACTCGAATCTACTTAAATATCGTCTCCCTAAGTCAGACTCTCAATGAGTTAAATTCAGATGTAGAGAGTGGTAACAATAATGCAGACGAATGATAATTA